AGAACGGTCAAGGGTATCATTAGTAAAAATGATCCAACATGATTTTTTTAAAACAGAGCTGCATTCGCTCAGAAGTCATGGTCACGTAGCAAAAAATAGCAACATCCTAAATCTAAATCCATTTATTGATGCACATGGCATCTTAAGAGTCGGTGGTCGCTTGAGCCACGCTATTGTTTCCTATGACCATAAGCATCCCATTTTACTACCGGGTAAACATGCGTTCACGCGATTAATTATTATAGACGAACACGAACGTCAATTGCACGCCGGAGCCCAAGCCACATTGTCGGCAATCCGTCAAAATTACTGGCCGACGTCGGCTCGAAGTGTGATTCGTAGCGTAATAAAGAAATGTACGACGTGCATACGTAACACGCCAAGGTTAGGCGCAACTTTGATGGCGGATTTACCCGAAACACGAGTAAATATAGCAAAGCATGTATTTCAAAAATGCGGCGTCGATTATGCGGGACCACTATGGTATAAGGAAGGTCAGCGAAAAAACGCGAAATCAATCAAATGTTATATGGGTTTATTTGTTTGTCTAGCTACTAAAGCCGTACATATAGAATTGGCATCAGATATTTCAGCGGAAGAATTTTTAAATGTATTCAAACGATTTATTTCTCGAAGAGGACGTCCCACGGATATGTATTCGGACAACTGTTTAAATTTCATCGGAGCTAATCGCGAACTTAATGAATTGTACGACTTATTCAATAATGAGGTTGTTAAGCAAAAAATTGTTAATTTCGCGACATCCGAAAGGATGAATTGGCATTTTATTCCGCCTAAGTCTCCACACATGGGTGGTTTATGGGAGGCCGCCATTAAAAGTGCTAAATTTCACTTGAAACGCATCATCGGTGAGGCTTCGCTAAAATATCAAGAATTAAACACGGTACTGATACAGATTGAAGCGGTATTAAATTCAAGGCCACTTACACCTTTATCAAGCGACCCTAATGACTTCAATGCACTCACACCAGCACACTTTCTGATCGGATGTCCAATCACAACGTATCCAAAACCTAGCCTTAAGGAATTGCAAACGAATAGACTATCTCGGTGGCAACGAGTGGAACAACTACGGCAACATTTCTGGCAGCGCTGAGTAAAGGAATACCTTCACAACTGTCAATCTCGGGTTAAATGGAATGAAAAAACTGATCCTATCAAGGTGGGACAGATGGTGATATTACAGGAAAATAATTTACCACCCTTGTGTTGGAGTCTAGGTCGAATCGAGCAAGTCTATCCGGGAAAGGATAATATTATTCGCGTTGTTTCTGTACGAACCTCTAAAGGAGTGTACAAACGACCTATTACAAAGGTATCCGTTTTGCCTATTGAACAATAGTTATAAGTTGCGTATTTACCATAAATAACCGTATAATCAATCATATTTCATTATATCTATGCATGCTGTATATTTAGTTTATTGAAAGTCGAGGCTTTCAAGGGCGGCGGTATGTTGCGTATTTTATGTTGAAAAACGTTCAAGTCAAATTTATGGTTTACCTAAGGGTAATAGTTTAGCTTTAGTCGCGACATCTAGTTGGAGGACCTATCGGTCCCATGATTTTGTTTTATTCAGGGAGAAATTGGCGCTCGTGCCGGTAGGCACAGGCAGTATTGTACTGGAGATCGTCGCGGCAGGACGCATAATAAAGTTTTCAGTAATCTTAAACAACGAGTCATTTACCTGAAGAAAGAAATAGCGTTCACATACGCAAGCGACACAGGCGCATAAGTATACGCACAAAACCACATTAGTGCGGGTACTATTAAACAGAAAGCCATAGCAACCTTTGACATTCTTATATAACGATTTAATGTTTTAATTGAAGGGAGTATTAAGATATTATGAGATCTCAAGTGCTCATATGTTTTTGTGCTTTTAATCCGAAGCAAAATACATTCATATATCCATTCATGTGAATATCTCATGTCCTTCATATCTTTTAACTTCGCTGCTGTAAAACAAGCTTGAACTGCCAGTTGTTGATTTTGTGGTAATTTTGAAATAACTTCTTCAATTACTTTTTCGTTACATTCAGAACACTTCTCTTTCAAACATGTTATTTTCTTGAACAATGTTTCGATCTATACATATAAAATAATGTTAAATTCAAATGTGAATAAATTTCAGTGAAAACTATAATTGGAACCTGTAGAAAATGTATTTAATATACTTTGCTCCGAAGCCTCTTTTCCCGACGTTTGTAATTTAAATTTGATATTTGTAATTTTCTTTTTCTATTTCTAAGCTTCTCAATTATTGTTACATTGTATCTTTTCTTAATAACATCTTCCAACTTTTTTTACACACCAAACACCTCATTTTTTTCGTTCACTTTGTACTGTCTTTTAATTACAAAACCATGACAATTTTTAATTCTGTAAAAGAAATTAGTACATTTTATTTAATATATGTATGATAACACAATATAATAAAACGAGACAACTTTCTAGAAAGTAAAAATAGATGTTTTTATAAATATGAAAAACTAAAATAAAGTGTTAATTATTTCTGTTACTTCTGAAAAAATAAAATATGATTTAATATACAAACCTGTTTTTATCATTAACCTTTTTCACAAGGAAAAAATGTAATTTTATCAAAATTGGTTCAATTTCTTGTATGCTGCGAATCATTTGTGTGTCAAAAGAAATTTCTTTAGCTCCAATAAATACCTATTAATATTTACAACATTAAAATACATTACAAATATAAATATACAATATATATTAAATAATATGAGGAGAGGGAAAAGATAGCGGAGTGAGAGGTAGTGTCAGAGAGAGCCCCCCGTGTGGGCCACCTTGTCGTGGTGGGGGGGCTTAAGGCGGGCGTCCGGCCTGGAGCCGCTGTGTGCCGTTTCAGGCTCCGGCGGTTCCTTGGGCTGGGTGTCCGCCGACTAAGAGCCCACTTGGCCAGTGTTTGGCCAGGCCGATCATCGGCCGGGGGTGTGGGGAAGCGATGTCCCATGGACACTTGTCCGGAATGGCATCGTGGACCCACACCGGGTTCCTGGAATCATAAGTTCATGGTTCCGGGGACGAGTCCCGGTGCCCGCGGGCAATCGCTCTTACGGGCACCGGGGGTCGAGTCCCCTTCACCGGGTCCCACGGGTGTTCCCGGGGGAGCTCGGGGGGGACGGGAGGGGCGGATTTTTCGGTCTCCCCACGTTGGGGGGGCCGGGAAGCCGTTCTGCTCGGGTCGACGGGCTGATGGGGCCGCTCGGACGTATTCCGAGACAGGGCTCGTCAGCCTGGGGCCCTTGGAGCCGCTGGGACGTTTCCCAGGCGGGGTCCAGGGCCGTGGAGGAAGGATTGCCACCGGTGTCCGCGGGCTACGGCTCTTACGGGCACCGGGGCCGGTGACCACCGGTGTTCCGCGGGCTACGGCTCTTACGGGGTCGGAGGGAGTCCCGTTGTCCGGGTGCCGTGGGGATCTCCCCCGGTGGACTCGGCCGGGACTGGGGGGACGGTTCCGCGACTTTCCCCCTGTTGGGTGAGTCGAGGGGCCGCCTCACCCGGGTAGACGGGCTGACGAGGCCGCTCGGACGTATTCCGAGGCAGGGCTCGGCAGCCTGGGGCCCTTGGAGCCGCTGGG